AGAACATTTAGATTTGTCAGATTCTGAAAACTTTTTTCACGAGCTCGATTAGATATCAGGAGAAACCCAGGATTTTTTCTATATTCGCATATAACTTTTTACTGTTAAACCCTGAAGCGTGTTAACATTAACCCTTTGCACTTCGTAGGCGCTTCTCAGTCGCCAATTGATTTGACACAGCAAAATTATAGAGTTTGACATTTAATATTAAACTTTGTACAACGCATCGACATGTGAAATATTAAAATAGAACAGCCTCTTTCCTTAAATTATGTGGGATTTCTCGTTAAGTCAGTTTGCAAGAATGTCGTTGGTATTTCATTAAAAAATGTTGAGTATTTCTACTGAAAAACTTCTGGAGTGCGAAGGGTTGAAATATATTGGTTTCCTATATTTTACTTCTTTCGAACGTTTCCATTTTGCAAACTCGTTAAATTAAGTCTATCGTTAGCAGTTTCACTTGCGTCGACATGTAAATACCTATAACACCGAAGCAAATGAAATCTTTCTAAGTAAAAGAGAAAGCATCATAGGAGAACGGGTTAAAGGAGGATGAAAATAAGAAAACGAACGTACCGGCCGGAAAGAAACGTTTCGCTTTAACGCATTTATTTCTTAAAGCGCTCCGAAACTCGGGGCCCGTGATTCGCGTCGCGAACCGGCGAACAATTAGAGAAATTAATTACGAACTTTTCCCGGCGGGGCGAAGTAGTTTCCGAGGGGAAGGGCGAACAGCGGAATTACGGTTGAAACGGAAACTCCGCCGGCGCCGGTTATAAAATAATACAATTGGCGGTGAAATAAAGCGAAACGCCGTCCGCTCGGCTCGCGAAAATCTTGAACGGGAGTCGAATAATCTATACGCCTGCGTTTATTATCGCGCGGAAGTATGTAAACGAGACCGCGCCGCGCGTCTGGTTGTTCCTCGGATGTATAATTAACTTCGAACCACTTTCGCGGGTCTCTTCAACAATTCAGCGCGGGAACCTCGCCCACATCCGCGCCGCGCCTCCTCCGGCGTAGCTACAGGTGCTACGGAGCCTACCTATACGATCGGATGAGTTCTTTTCCATTATCCGGGCAACCGGCACTCGCGACGTCTGATAATTTGATCATTTTTTGAACGGCTCGTTGGACCGAGTGGTGCTTCGAAGTTTGCCTCGAGGTTCATTGCCGTTGTTTCAAGATCCTCTTTATTCCTATAGCTTCAGAAATGACCTTTGTTCGAAGGACTGAGTTGGAATTAAGAAGTCTACTCGATGCGTTAATGCGACTGTTAAATCGTTCATTAGTCTATTATTCAGTGGAAATAATTTTTGAAATGGGAGAGGACTCAAGATGTACATTGCTCTTTTAACCTACATCTTATATATTCAAGAGGATTGCTATCGTTCGAAATGTCGAGAAAATTCACAAATGCCTTCCGACTCTGGACGAGACAAAGTGTTTTGAAATAAAATTTCAAAATAGATACATGATCAATTTACGTTTACAGATATATCTCTTACCAATTGAGATCGCCGGTTTTCGCGTGGAAAACGCGTAAATATAAGCACAATGTTTCCTAAAACAATTTCCCCGGGAACTTCGTAGCACCTTGTATCGATGGAAGACAATCAGGTGTCTGGTTGCAGCAAAGTGCGCGGCCCGCCATTATCATAATACTTTTTCCAATACAACCGTGCGCGCTCCTTACGCCGGCGAGGTGAAAATAATAAAACTCGGAAGTGTCGGGATCAAAATTTCCGGCAGCATCTGCTTCGAATGCGAAGCGAGAAATAATTTCGTCGAGTTTGGCTAAAATTCGCCGCGATCTTATTTGTTCGGGGCCGGCCGCGCGGGAATCGTAGGGCTCGCGGAAGACCGACGCGCCATATATCCGCAGTAATGGCGGATTAAAGCTGCCCTGCCGGAGAGACGGCGTCGCTGCGTCCGATCTGCGGCCAGACCGCACGACGCTTGTTCCTTGAACAGGCTGCGATCCTGGATAGCTGTCAGCGGCACACCGCCGACGAAAACCGTGCTCGTCGGACAAGACCGTGATTTCGTTGGACGGACGCAAAGGCAATGAATCGAGACCTTTAATCGACTTTCTTCATCTTGATTACGCATCTGAGATTATGTATTGGTATTTATTAGAACGTTACCTCTTGAGTGTGCTAACTTGCTGTTTGGACTGTGGGAGTGGAGTGTAGGTTAATGGGGAGACAATAAAACACAATTCACACCCACGTATTTATTCGTATTTTTTACACAGCGCAGTTGTACGATGTACTTCTCGGAGTAACGCGTCGGCGGTACGCTGCTCCAGTTAATAGTGGAACCTCGAGATGCCGTTTTTCTACTGTTCCAATTGAAAGTAGGATGTCGCTCGTCTACCGTTGTACGCCGCGCTCCGAAACGCTCCAAAAATGCTTAAATGCCGTCCGCCGCGTTCCTCTGTTCTACCGGTCCAAGACGGAGAACCGCGGACGGACAGATCAATCGCAAACGTGGTAGCAACGAAGTCGCTGCAAGATAAAGAATAATTGCGGAAGGAATAGCACTTTCGCGGAGAAAGAGTAGCTCTCTCGCGGAGAAATAAGATTAAACGGAGAGACAGTAGCGAAACCCCATGAATTTTTATAATCAAACTACAGAAATTTCCACGTGAATGAAACATCACTCATTACCAAAAACAAACAGCTCCAATTGTACGCCTCCAGCTAAAGAACACCGCGAAAGAGAGCCAGTCCCGAATGAACCGCTTTGTTCCCGCCGGTCAACGGAGCGTTGCTCCGACTCGCATAAACGCTGTTTATTCGCCGGGATATGAATTAACGCGCGTATAATCATTTACAAATGAAATCGCGAGCTGATCGATGGGTAATAGAATTTTCACACGGCTGCTAAACGCGACAACAATGCCGGCCATTAAGAGGCATTGTCGGAACAGAGAATTGCAATATCCCGGTGGAAATCGGTCGACTGGTTACACAGCGTTGCTCGGGAGCGAGCAAAATTCTATCCTCGACCCGCGAGTCCTTATCACGTTCGAACTTAGCAACCCGTCAACGAGTTCCGTGGCTTCTTTCCGCGCTGAAGCCTACATCCTCGATCTTGTAACAAGAATCTCAACGAGGCTACGATAAAGCGGAGCCAGGTTCCTCGCGAACCATCCGCCTCGCAGTTCCATCTCAATCGAGTTCTTCCGGTCACTTCCTCGATCCCCGGTCCATCTCGAGGAAGCTTTTGACCGTGGCTACTTCCATCCATCGGCTCCTTGTCTCCTTTTTCGCTCTCGGATCCGTCGAAGGCGAGAGCCGCGCCGCTGTGTGTGCCATTAACCCAAATAATTCTCTGCGGCCACGCTCCCCTTCATCCTTTCCCGCGATCCCCGGCCTCCTCTTCCTTTGCTGCGCGCCAGGATACCGATCCTCTTTGAACCGCGACCCGGCGGATCCTGGGAAACCGATTCTTTCGGGAGGAACGAGCCGCTTGTTGCCCGAACCTCAGGATTCGGTCCCGCGCGTTGTTAATCAAGACCCGACCGTATCACTGATTCCGGGGCAACGGTCGCTCACGGGGAACCGATGGGGTTTTGTGGTTTTCTTTGGCGCGCCTCGCTCCTCCCGAGACAGCCGTAATCGTCCGTTAGTCCCGCCACATTGAACTTCACGGAGCGTGTCCCGCTTTGTTCGCGTTTTTCTTCGCTGCTCGAGATGTCTTGCTGCTCGGCTACCGTGGAATCTTTTTGTCGCGGCAGATTTGATGTGATACGAAGCGAACGATCGTGAAATGGAAAGAACCGCAGAGACACGGGACAGCGCGGTTAAATATTTTCAGATTGCCGGTGCATGCTTCTGTGAGCTTTCGTTTTAGCTTGTAAAGTCGTACGGAGTTACTTGATTTTCGGATGTTTGAAGTAATATTGTTGTTTAATGTTTTCTTGAATAATTGAAAGTTTCTGGAAATCTTCGTACGATTCTTTCTCTTTTGAACTGTCTTTTGTTATAGTAGTTCCTTTGGATTTCCCGCGGAACTTTGAGTAAACAACGGGAAATTACAGAGAGAATGTACACAGCAACGGCGCGGAAGAAAATAGAAAATGCACGTGATATTATCTCGAATCGATCATCTCGAATTTCATCGGTAAACATTGCGCGAATGGCGGCCGATGTTGTGTTAATGCCAAAGGGAAATTATCCCGCGATTAAACGTAGGAACAAAGCGAGCATGAACCGATCGGCACGGAAACTCACCGTAATTTTCCTGAAAATTATCAGCCATTTCGATGATTGCGAAACTGGATCGTGCGCCGCTAATTCCTGATTAATTTCCGAGGCGAGCCGGCTGGATATGAATGTAATAAATTCGTCCGATCCTCGCGTGGCATTATAATCATTCCATTAAAAAAAAATGATAGAAAGAAACGATGGAAAATATTAAAAAATAAAATATCCATGCAGGAATTAATTAATACCAGTCTACAGAGACTGTAAGCTCATTAATTTAATAAATCTTCCGTTGATAAACTCTCACCTTTATTAAATCTTGCAAGTATATTTCCCTTTACCACTGTACCATACGGGATTTACCTAGAAACTCCCATAAAACAAGACGAATAATAAGTAATTAAACAATAAACACCGATATACCAGAAATTATATCTCATTTTCTATAACACGACCATTAATTACATCACAGAAAAATAATAAAGAAAGCAAACTAATGAAAAACTAACGCGTTATCAATAATTACTGTCTTCAGCAGATCTGTGATCGATAACGCGTTAACCTTTTAGGTACGGCGCGCTTGGCCGCGGATGGCACACAAAAACCGTTCATGACAATTTCCACTACATTACTTGGGAATAAAGTTCCAAATGAATAAATTATAATTTCTTTATATTTTCCGAATTGGTGCGATCCACGCAAGCCACTATAGCGGCGTACCGTACTTAAAAGGTTAAAACGAATTTCCACGAATATATGATCGAACGTTCGTCTCGTTTGTTCCAGGAGCGCGTGCCACGACTCCTGGACGCAGCTCCGGCTGTCGCCGATGTTCGGCTGCATCTGCCCGAACAATCACATGAAGAGGCGTTGCGACAGGATCTTCTCGATGGTGAATCACAATCCGTGCGTTGGTGAGTATGCCGATCCGTGGCCGTTTTCGGAAGGATCGATGGAACGTTTCTTTACCTTCTCTTTTCTCTATGTATACGTCTCTCTACTTACACACGCGAATACAAGAATACTGGCATCCGTTGTTACCAGCGCCGTCACACACGAGACTGTTTACCGCTTCCGACTTTTTCGTTCTACTTTTTGTTTTCCTTCTCTGAATTGCCGTCAAGTGCCAGAGACACACTTTGTGATCTTGAATGGGAACGAGTATATACATATATACATACATATATATACATTATATTATATTATATTATATTATATTATATTATATTATATTACATTATATTATATTATATTACATTATATTATATTATATTACATTATATTATATTATATTATATATCGTAAACGTTGGTTAACCGTATTTATACATAGCGCACCTTGTGGAAGACGATTTGTTGGTGTTGTGTGAAGTGAAACGTCTGTACTCTTTATTCATTTTCGTTGTTCCTCTTCTTCTACTACTTCTTGTTCTCTTGCGTTCGTTGCCTTTTGTTTTAATGCGATCCGACGAGAACGATTTACATTCTCTCTCGGCCACGTCTCGAGAGGCTCGCTCGATTGCCCTTTTCCTTTCGTAAACTGTTTGTCTGTCTGTACTTTTCTCAGCGCGTGGTGTCTCTTTTAGTTCGTTATCTGTTCATGCGATCGATGTATGCGTCCTGGGACAAAGGGAATCCGCTCGATCCTCGGCCGACGCGCGAGAGGGCATCTCCTTCGCGACGATTCCCAGCCTGACAGGCTTTCAAATTATTCCGGAGACTCCGATCAATTCCGGGATCGCCTGTTTCCGGTGTAAACCGATTCAAGGGTAGCTTTTCTCTTCGCGGGTGGATTGACAGCGATCATTGAATATTTGATGGGAGGTTAGGCGAACATTCTGCTTCGGACGCTTCGAACGGATTGATGTCTAACTGCACGATCATCCGAGATGATAATACAATAGATACATTTATAGAACAAAAAAATCAAAAGATCGAAGAACCAGAAATATAGAGCAAATAACGTCAATATCATCGAACAAATATTATTCTCATCGTATATCGAAACAGTAAAAATTTAACTGTAAAATTATCCGAAACAACAATACAAATATATACAGCAACGAGAACGAACAAATGGGGGAACCAAAAATATAGTGCAAATGATAATATCAATATTATTCCGTTGACCATGCAAATGTTCCTATAAATATTGAAACGGCAATGGAAACCGAATAAGAACGCGAGTTGCTCGGCGATACCGACTCGCGGATGACAAATGCGTTCCCAAATGCACTCACTTATCACTTCCGGTCCCGTTGCCCGTGTCGCCCGTCGAACACGGAGGAACAGCACGGCGAAGCAATTACTTATAGCGATACCAGGGTGTTTAAGACTGCCGGAACGACGTTGTAGCCTCCTTCGGATAAGCTCCTTTCTCCTTAATTAACCAAAGGCCACTGGTATCGAGATTCAGATAAGGATTTTATCGCGCGGCAGGCTCGACCTTAATTTCACTGTAATCCCGTTCCCTCGAAGCAACATCTTCCATGTGCTCCCTTCAGCTTAATGACACCGGACCAGCTATTTTTGCTCGCAGCCATCGACGCGTTCCGCTCCCGCGACAGTGATCACTGACTGCAAATGCGGTGTTGCGTACGCGTTTTCTATTTCGAAATGTTATAGGGAAACCCGTGCGTCGCACGCCGAATTAACTTTGCGCGAACTGATCGGAAGTGGACTGTATAAATACTTACTTCGGTGAAAATAATTTGCTGTTTAGTTTTGGGAGTTCAGTAATACTCGTCGGCGGCGAGAGTCTACGACGTCTATATACTCCGTCTCGTGTGTCTAGTTCAATTTTTTCTTATATCTACCGTCTCCGTACCTTGCGTGGGTTTTTATAAACCTTTGGGTAGGCGTGTGCAAAATTGGAAGCTTCCTGACTTGTAGCCTTCCAGATAGTGGGCGCGTAGAAACAAAAATTCGTTCGAGTGGGACTCAACCAGTGATCCTGGAGGGGTGAATTGCAGCCCCCGGGTGACTTGAGCCCACTTGATTTCATACAGTAAAACTATAGAATTTGATATTTAATATTATATTTCCTATAATGCATCATTTTGAGAAACATTCAAGTAATATGGCTTTGTTTCTCAATGTACGCGTGATTTCTCGTCGACTTAGTTTCATAAAATATCGATTTTATCTCGTCGGAAAATGTTCAAATGTTTCTAGGGAAAAACTTCCGAGTGCAAATGGTTGATATAAATCCTGCAATGTTATTCCATTGCCTCATGAAGCTAATGATACGAGAAAAATGTTAGACGTGCCTGAAACATCATTTTCATCGGTTTTCCGTTCAGCAATCCAGTTTTTTAATCCATCTTCAGGAAAATTGACAGGTTAATATCTAGTCTCCGTTCTTTGCTCAAGATCGACGCAACAACCGAAATTTTAAAAACTAATAAAAATTTATATGAAATTAAAAATTAATCAAAATTTTACAGACGTTTTGCACGAGAATAAACACTGAGATGGACGCTGCAAAAACAATTTGCTTGATTATTTTCGCGACTAGATCTTGAATATTTAAGCATCGATTATCGAACGACTACTCGGTATACCGTTAATTGTATCATCGATCGACTATCGAATTAAATTCCCGGCGATACTAATTACTTAATCTTTCATTGAACGTTCAATCTAAAGTGGTGAAATTGAATCTAAATTTGCAGCGAATTATGTCGGAATTAGCGAAGATCCGAACTCGTTTGAAACTCTGCGATCTATTTCCCGAATGTTCCTTCGCGTTACGCTTCGCGTTTCGGTAAGAGAATCTTCGAAATAGGAAGATCGATCGGAGACACGGCCCTCTTGATCCAACTATAAGTCCGAAGCAGAATCTCGGGGTCGGCGAATCGATAATTGAAGGGTTCCACGAAGTTTATCTCCGTTTATGAAGTCTTCAGCTTCGCTCGGATCTAAGGCTTTACAATGTTAGGCAACCCTGTTGCGAGGATTCGGGATCGTTGGCCCAGGATCGAGAGATTTTCAGTTTGCGCCTCGCAAGACCGACTCAGGTCCGGCACAGGTGATCGAGTTTCGTCGCTGGTTTTAGTGGTGCAATGAATTATGTAACACGTGAAAGGAACGTTAAATGAATTGACGTAACGACCGCGGTGTCTCGTGAAATCATGCTGCCTGAAAATTGAATGATTTAACAGCTGTGGAACAGATAAAATATCTCAACTTGTAATTCAATGATCTGCGAGGTCATTCTTCTTTTTATTAGTCTCTGAATATTATAAATTAGCAGACATCGTTTTTAGTGTAACAAAATTTACAGCGAGGAGTACTAAGAGTCGTTAAAATAGATCATTAAAATATTCAAAGTAATAGAAACGACAATGTTAATTAGGAATATTAATCTTTTCGGCTGACAGGGTAATTGCTTTATAAAGTACTTAGAGTAACGATAATAATAATATTTCTATTGGAAATTCTAATCTAATCCACGATTAGAATGACTTATTCTTAACTTCTTATCAAAATTATAAAATTTCTTGAGATTTCAAAGCCCTCTTATTCTTAAATCCGTGAAAATGCACAAAATCGTTCAATCTCCTACAAAAGCATCAAAATTCGAATACTAGTGAACTCAAAATTCGAATACTAGTGAAATCAAAATTCGAATACTAGTGAAATCAAAATTCTAGTACCAGTGAAATCAAAATTCGAGTACTAGTGTACTCAAAATTCGAATACTAGTGAAATCAAAATTCGAGTACTACTGAAATCAAAATTCGAGTACTACTGAAATCAAAATTCTAGTACCAGTGAAATCAAAATTCTAGTACTACTGAAATCAAAATTCTAGTACCAGTGAAATCAAAATTCTAGTACTACTGAAATCAAAATTCCAAATTGAGTCAGTTTGATTCGTCTGCAGTTCCAGTGTGAAAAGACATTACTCCCTTGCGTCTACACTCAATACCAGCGTTCAAGTGAAGCGCGCGACGAAACTCGCTCATCCGTACCGCGCCCTTAAACCGTTGAGGACTAATTTGTAGAGCGTTATGCCGTACAAGTAAATTTACAGCGCGGAGCGCGCATGTGCGACGTGCAAGCGTTTGTCTCCCGTCTTCCCGGCGTCGGCTAGGTGAACCGCTTCGGCTAGACGAACACTTCAACCAAGTATTATACATTTCAGCGTCGAAGAATCGAGTCAAACGTTTCAATCCAGGGCCGCCGTTAAGCGTCTAATCGCAACATCTACGGTCCACACACAGGGACACGACAAACACGTCACAGGAACCGAGAGGACAAACAAAATTCCCAGAAACACCTCGTACTCATCGGACCACGAACCACGATATTCCGAACAGACAAACCGACGCGAAACAACTCAAAGCCTACGGCAACGTTGACAATCGAACAGTTTAACCCTTTGCGGACGAGGATTCTTTGAAATATACAAAACCTGAAGCTAAATTATATATCAGTTACTTAATTAATGGAAAGAGAACTATGTGCTGATCTCTCGCTGTTCGACTAATTAGAATCACTAGTCAAAAAATGTTAAATATTTCTAGTGAGAATTTTCCAAAGGGTTAACCCTTTGCACTCGGCAGATGACTCTTGGCCTTTGCTTGACTTCAGCGAAATTAAGAAGTTCGATGTGTAACGTTGAGCTTCGTGCATTAACCCTTTGCGAACGAAGGTTAGGAATATACAAAACCTTCAACAGAAACTAAATGATATCAGTCGCTTGATCAATAGAAAAAGGAAACTACGTGCAGATCTCTAGATGTTCGAGTAATTAACTCGTCCACGACTTAATCTTCCAAATCTGAACATTTCTGAAACGTCGACGTCCGTCCGCAAAGGGTAAACCCTTTGCACTCGAAAGTTTCTCACTAGAAATATTCAACACTCTCCGATAAAACATAGACGATGCTTGCGACTAATGTAAATTT